ATTTAACAGAACTTGAACAGGAACTGAAGGTGTGGTAATTGAAAGTGGGAATAGATTGAAATGGAACATCCCATTTCCTATGCCAAGTCCCTTTTGTTCTGAACAAAAGGGACTTGGCATAGGAAATGAGATGTTTAGAGCCTGGCCAGCTCTGCATAACTTGATTGACACAGGGGTGAAGCCCTGTGGCACTACCCTTAGGTGACTGAGTTAAACTCAGATCTCCAGTGGAAGGTATCTCTATTTTACAGTTGAAGGAGACCTCAGAGTTTTTCACCACCAGTAAAACAGAGCAGAAAATTTCTATTCGGGTTCCTGATTTTGACATTATCAAATGCTATGAAACAAACTAATTATTTTCAAAGAAATATATGATAAATTTAATATCACTGGGAACAATAAGATAGCAGGACTTCTAGAAATGAATACAATATTTCATTACAAAATAATGCAGAACACAAGAAATCAATATAGAAATCACACTCTCAGTGTAACCTGAAGTGAGAATTCTTAAACTTCAAATTGAATAAAATGAGAGAAATCACCAAATCTCAGCATATACTTCCACATGCCACCCCACAACCCCACCACACCGCAAGGGGGGCGAAGGCAGATGGAACAGCCTGCAGGGAAGACAAGATGGATGCCAGCCAAAGCGCATAATGTCCTAACATCCGTCTAAAATCTCTGCCAGACTAAGTCCACCAAGGTCCTAACTGTCTAAAATGTGTGTCTAAACAGGTCAGAGCCCAAAGGACAGGCGAGATTCTTCAAAGTGAGTGTCATTTAAAGGGAGTAGGTGTGGTTTAAAGGGGCAATCTTTAGAATACAGCTTCCAGTGACTGTGATAAATGAACAAAGAAAAACACCCTTAGGGATGAAAGAGAGAAACAAAAGAATCCTCCTAGTGAAATAAGAACTACAGAACTGGAGCCCATTCAACCCCTCTCCACCACCAAAACAAACCAACACCTACCAAAGTACCTGAACTTTGCGCTATGGACAGATCTGTCATGAAAATAACAGATAGGAATACTGATAAGAAACAATTATATGAAGATGATATGATTATGTACATAGAAAACGAAATAATCTACAAATAAACTAGACATAATATGAGAAATTAGTTCTATTTCCAGCTCTAGGAAGACAGGCCTTATCAAGAACAATTAGAAAAGCCAGATTGAAAAACAAAACACTGAAGAAATAGAGAACAACTAAGGTAAGAATGACTTAATGAAATCAAGAGTCTAGAGCCCAGGAAAGTGAGCAGTGATAGTAAAATGTTTATCTTGAGGCATTTGTTGATTTGTAAGTGCTGGTTGAGAGGTCAAGTAGGAGGCAGAGAACCCAAGGAATTTTAGGTAGTATCACTGGCTGAAGGAAAATAATAATAACATCTCAGCACCTATCCCATGTAAGGTGTACTGGTAAGGAGGCTTTCCCTTAGGAAACAAATGGCTACCCCCACTCAAAGGGCTAACCCAAAACAGATCAGTTTTAACAAACAAGGAATCCCACCTGGCATTAGACTACCTCATGCAGGATTAAGCTGATCTGCCCCTCCTTGAACTACCTGCAACAAACAGCAGGAAAGAGTCTGGAGGAAGATATCATCCAGAGCCTCAAATTTTATCTATAATATACAGTATCCACTCAAAAGTTAGTCTTATTAAAAACAAGATGAAATGATGAAAGATCAAAGGGGGAAAATAAGAAATAGTTCCATGAGAGGTACAGTTTTTCAGTTATCAAACAGATATTTTAATAATAGTGATGAATAGGGGCTGGGGTTGTGGCTCAAGCGGTAGTGCGCTCGCCTGGCTATGCGTGCCGCCCAGGTTCGATCCTCAGCACCACGTATAAAAATAATAGTGATGAATAAATTTAAGAAAATAGAAGATGAAAAATGTTAGCAGAGAATTAAAATTTATTAAAAATTTAAAAGGAGAATTTCAGTTCTAGACAAGATGGGATAGAATTATTCCCCCATTCCTCTCATGAAATCCAGCAAAATGTTTATACATTATGTATATATTCAGAAATGTGGAAAAAAGGCAGACCAGACCAACTAGGAACCTCAGGATCTAAAAAACAAGGTAGAAACCTGGCTTTTCTCTTTGCGTCATGTATCCTATGATATGTGCTAGAGAGTCTGGATATCCAAAGATGCTAAAAGGTGCAGACAAGAAAAATCCAAAGGAAAGCTTTTCTCTCCAGGGAAAGACCAAGAAACAAGTAGCCTAGCAAGACAGAATATTGTTAGACGATAATTGTGCTACTCCCGACAAATGCTACAGAACAAACCAAGACCCATTTCAACCCCTGGCCAGCAAAGGCTGAGGGGGAGGGGCTAGACAGGCATCCTCACCTTGCAGTAATGAAGTGCCCCCCCCACATCCACACATAGTGGTCTCTAAGAAGGCAAAATAGGGGTCTGGGACTTTCACTGCTGCACAGTAATAATGAGGATCCCTGCTGTGATGTCAGTGGGGACCACATGGGAAGCAGTAACAAGGCTTTCTCCATACCTGGGATGTCAATGAAGGCCAAGGGAGCACCTGAACTTCCAGCCCCCGCCCCCCCTCGAAGAACCAAGGCAGTTCCCAGCCTCTCCCACTGGCACAGTGTAGGAGGAAATCTACTAAAATGGAAGATTTAAATAAGATCCAGTCTCATAAAACCTAAAACATAGCATATAAAATACAGGATTATATGGGATATAATTAAAAAAAAAAAAAAACTCATGTCAAAAATCCAGAAAATTTCAACTGAGTGAAAAAACACAATCAATCAATCAACAGACCCCAACATCAAGATGATAGATATGTTGGATTTATCCGACATGGATTTTAAAATAGTGTAAAAGTACTCTGAAGCACTAGCCAAGCAACCCAGCTACTTTACTTAGGAGACTGAGGCAGGAGAATTGCAAGTTGGAAGCCAGACTGAACAACTTAGTGAAATTGTGTCTTAAAAAGTAAAAAGGGGGCTGGGGATGTGGCTCAAGCTGTAGCGCGCTCACCTGGCTTGTGCGGGACGCTGGGTTCGATTCTCAGCACCACATAAAAATAAAATAAAGATGTTGTGTCCACAGAAAACTAAAAAATAAATATTAAAAAAAATTCTCTCTCTCTCTCTCTCTCCCTCTCAAATAAATAAATAAATAAAAAGGGCTGGGGATGTGGCTCAATGGTAGAGTTCTTGCCTAGCATATACCAGCCCTGGGTTCAATCTACAGTACTGGGGGTGGGGGGGGGAAGCATTTTAGAGAACAATTATAAACAACTTAGGACAAAAAAAAATTTTTTTTTAAGTCTCACTGACAGGCATGGTTGGCACATTGCTAATAATCTCTGCTATTTCAGAGCCTGAAACAGGATGACTGGTCTGAGCAACTTAGGGAGAGCCTGTCTCAAATTTATTTTTTGTTTTTTTAAAAGGGCTAGGGATATAGCTCAGTGATAGAACATACCAGGCCCTGGTTTTGATCCCTAGCAACACATACACACACTTTCACCAAGGAAACAGTCTTGGCAAAGAAACAGAAGATATAATAAGGAACTGAATGGAAATTTAGATCTGAAAAGTATAATAATTGAAATAAACTAAGCACATGGACTCAGTAGTAGAATGGAAGGGCCAGAGAAAGACATATTTGTCTGTCAGTGACCTAAAGATGGAATAGTAGATAACCTTCCATCTGAACAACAGAAAGATAGATTGAAAAAAAAAATTAGCAGAATCTCAGGGATTTGTGGGACTTTATCAAGAGATCTAGCAGTTGTGTCATCAGAATCCCAGGGAAGAAAGAGGAGAAAAAGCATGGGGCAGAAAATTTTTGAAGAAATAATTTCTGATATTTTCCTAAGTTGGGCAGAAGATTCGAGAACATGAACAATCCCAAACCGAAAAACTTCAGGAAATCTACACAGAGACACGATACTCAAGTTTTTTAAACTAAAGAAAAAGAACAATCAAGAATGGAGAGAGAAAAGATGGCAAAATCAATTCAAACGATAGCCAATTTCTCATCAGATGTGGTGGCCAGAAAAATTGGCACATTTTTTATTCAAATGCTGTGGGAAAAACGGAAAGAACTCCAGATTTTATATGAAAGAGAAATCAACATTCTCATTTTTTTAAAAAATGAATAAATTTATACTCACTGACCTTCTCTTTTAAAAAAAAATGGCTGAAGGAAGTTCTTGCAACAGAAAGGAAATCTTAGAAGAGAAGGAATCTTAGAAAAGGAAGGAAGGAGGGAAGGAGGGAGGGACGGAGGGAAGGAGGGGTAAAATGACTACAATATGGGGAAATAGAATAGGGTTTTCTCTTGGATTCTGTATGTTTGACAGTTGAAGCAAAAATGACTGACGTGGTTCTCACTGCACAGGTAGAGGAAATATTAAAGACAATTATAAATGAGAGTGACATCACAAGAGGTAAAATGACTACAACTTCACCAGAACTGGTAAAGTATCAACTCCAGTGTTCTGTGATAATTTATATATTTATAGAGGGTGGGTTTGGACAGTGATTTTAACAGGTTGAGAGGTCAGAACGAGAGCATATGGAACCAGCATACACTTTCTAGATTTGCTGGCTGCAAAAAGGGAAGAAGGCTGGAACTCCAACTATCACAGACACAGAGGACTGGGGCCAGTGGAGAAAGGCACAGAGAGACTGGGAGATGGAGCACCGGCGGAGGTAGGATGAGGAAGAACCTCTGGCTTCCTAAGAGGCTGGCTGGGAAGGTGAGGGAGTTCTGTCTGAGGATGACTCTCCTCTCAGTCGTGCAGGCACCTGTTGAGAGAAGGGATAAATCAAAACCAAGGAGATGATAAAGATTTGATGCGCCCAAACGGGTCCCAGCATGAGGGGACCAGCATTCCTGGAGCTTAAAAGCCCAAGTTTTCGTCTTGCGACTCAAAAGCTGTAAGATAACAAATTGACCCACCAGGTGGCAGTGTTTGTGGATGTTCGAGTATCCCATCGGCCCTGGCGCTCAGGGCGGAAGAAGGGGCAGAGGTGACTCTCTGGCCCGCATCGCCTCTACTCTCCTATCCCGTCTGACGTTGGACAACAAAGATGGCGGCAGGAACCAGCAATTACTGGGAAGGTGAGGGCGAGGCCTCCGGGTGGGTCCCGCTAGAGGCAGAAGGGCTGACTGTGGCTAGATCTTGGGAGAGGTAGCAGAGGAAAGAGCCAGGCTTTAGGAGCGGCCGAGCTGAGAAGAGGAATTGCGTAGTGGGAGCCCTGGGGACCGAGGAAACCGAATGATCTGAGGGAGGGGGCTGGCCTGACCCGACGGTGTGAACGAGACCAGGGATTGGGGTTGAGCAGAGTGGACAGAGCGAGGTTGGAGAGAAAGAGGGGCCGGAGTCGCCAGGTAGCAATGGGCAAGGGGTAGTGAAGCTCGGACCACGGAGCTTTGGGTTCAAACTCTGAGTGAAGACGAGTGTTCAGCTAGAAAATCCAGAGCCAAGGGAGACTGGAGTTGTGAGCGCTTTGGAGTTGATGTCACTGTTGGAAAACTGAGTGGGAAAAGAGAAAAGGAGGAACTTACTCTGGTCCATCCGGGGATTTTTGAGCTGAATATCTCCTGCTGGGTCTGGGTGGCAGGTTCAGGCTGAGATTTCGAGGATTGGGTGTTTGAAGACAGAAAGTAACTTTACCTTCTGTCCTGGAGTCTAGGATTGGTTTTGTTAAAGAGGAAGTTGGGAGAAACTGTGAGTTGTACTTCGTTGTACCTCTTCCAGGGGGAAAAAAAAAAAAAAGAAAGAAAGAAACTAAAAAACTTACTGTGATTGACAAGTGCATTTATTTAATTCCTGAATATATGGTCCAATCAAGTGAGGTCCTATAAAATTCATTCCTGGACCATGATGAACAGCAAAGATGGAAGAAGTCTCAATTTTTTCTTTCAAGTGCCTCTTTCCTTGCTGGAACATAGAAACTGCTTTCCAAATCCCTCTTACCCTTTTGAGCTGCGTCCTCTTGTTACCTACCCATCGAAGCCTCTGGAAACCATGACAATGTCACCGTCAGCAAGTTGATCTAAGAAACTGAATTTTATGTTTGTACATACTTGTCTTATTTTCAAAGTGGTTTTACTTGATGTTTCTGTTAGAAAAGACAATTACTAAAAGAGGAGCATACTTATAGTTTGAATTGCCCATATGAAATGTGTGTACTAGCTAGAAAATATTTTTAAATTATGTACAAGTGTTTCCTGGTATCTTTAATACTAGTCATCAGGCTGTGCTTTTTTGAAGCACCATGCTATAATAATGATAGCAGTTCATTATTGACAAAATACTGTGGTCCATGGCTTTAAGCTTTTGCTTTTTCTAATGCATAAAAATTTCCTGAAGATAGAGGTTTTTAAAAATATTTATAGATTAAGTAGCTTGCAAATAAATCTTAGTGCCAACGAGTAACAGCCAAGATTCAAACTGGGATTTTGTCTGGGAAAATATGTTCTACTATCTTACTCTGCTTCCTACTTCTGGTTGCAAAGTATTTGAAATACTGTTTTGTATTCCTTATCACTGAGACATTCTTATACCATATTTCCTATATTTCAATCCTTTTATTTTAATCTTCATGAATAAGAGTACTTCATCATGAGAAGAGTACTCAGATATAGATGTGTGGATTTCCAGATGTAGCTTCTCACACTCAGCCCCTTAAAATGCTAAACTACTATACCAATTTCTCTGCTTGCTTGCTTCTGCTTTTAAAATATGTGTTTTTTTGCCCTGTCATATTCATATTTGACCTTGTTAGTAGCACATGGTTAGTTTCACCTCTGAAATTTTTCAGTAAGTTTATGAAAAGACAATTTTTATTAATTGCAATATTTTTCTTTATGTTCAATTGCTAAGTATTTTACTATTAAGAAAAGAATTTCATAAGCTTGACAAAGCTTTACAACATAAAAAGATAGCAAACTTCTTATCAAAAATGATAGCTTCTTTCTCATATAAAGTTAGCTAGTAAATTGATGTGATCCTGATCATAAAACATTCATTTTCTTTGTGATTTGTAGTCTCTTCTATTTTATTTTTGTTTTATTGCTGTGTTGGGGAATAAACTCAGGGCCTTGTGCATGCTAGGCAAGCACTCTGCCACTAAGCTACATCCCCAGCCCTGAATTACAGAATTTTAGTTACTGCTGTAGAAATGTTAGGAATGTTTAGAACATTTGTCATCTAGCTGTCTTTGGAATAAAGCTGAATGTTTGCCTCTCCCACTGCTACTTCCCTTTCTGTCCCATCTGAAATTTAAATTAATGATTAATTTACTTTCTTGGGTAAGTCTTTGGTTTCCTTAACACTTTTCTTTATGGGAAGGAACTGGATCAAAGATTAATAATGATCATTTATAGTTTGCTTTCTTCAGAATAGTCTTGTGATTTTCATGCTTACTGATAGAATCTTTGGGTCTAATTATTTGCTTTTATAATTTTGTTAAAGATCTCAGGAAACAGGCTCGACAGTTGGAAAATGAACTTGACCTGAAACTAGTTTCCTTCAGTAAACTATGTACGAGTTACAGTCACAGCAGCACACGAGATGGAAGACGCGACAGGTATAGGTACTACCAGATTCTGTCTCTTATGCCTTAAATTATATAATGTTTTTAGAGAATTAAAAAAAAAACACTAAAATATATAACTTTTATAACTTGCTTATTGGCAAATTATTGATGTTTTATTTTCTTTACCACAATTATTTTATTTTTTAGTGACTTATTACAATTTTTTCTAATTCCTGAAACTTCCATTTATTTGCGATCCTTAGGCAAAGTTTGTTATGGTCTCAGGAGGAAACTACTAGAGTTTAAGAATGAGTCTGTATCAAAAATAAGAGTCCCAGGGCTGGAGAAGTAGCTCAATGGCAGAGCACTTACCTAACATGTATTAGGCTCTGGTTTCAGCCCCCAGCACCACAAAAAACAAAACAAACAAACAAGATGAAAAATAAGAGTTGTGGGGCTGGGAATGTAGCTTGGAGTAGAGTGCTTGCCTAGCATGTGCCTGGCCCTGGGTTTCATCCCCAATACCACCAAAAAAGAGAGAAAGAAAGAGGAGTTCCTAGCTCAACCAGTATACAGAAATATGGCTAATTTGCCCACATGGTATCTTTTGTTTTCTAATTGCTAAAAGGATCTGAGAAAATACTCAAATGCAAACTATACATACTGCTCTTTTGGTGTTTATACTTTTGTAGTAAATCTAGTACAGTGTATCCTCACTATTAATCATCAAAGCTATTTTTGTTTTTGGTACTTTCTTGAGAAACTAGCATATTACTATGTTGAACTTACGGAAAGTATATTCTTTTATTGGAATCTTATGCTCACTTAAAGTCATCTACTTGTTTCACAAAAATACTAGGAAATATCTAAGACACCTAGAAAAGTGTAAAGAATGATGTAAAGGACTCGTATGTATCTGTCTCCCATTTTAAGAAATGACCGTAACGGATTCATCTGAAGCCCCTGATGGCATCCCATTCTCATATGTATGTGTGTATATCTTACCATATGTGTATTTTTATTACATGTGTTTATTCTTAGGATATTCATAATATACCTCAATAATTATTTTGCAACTTTTTTGTTTAACATTACCTTTGAGATTCAACTGGATACATTTAACTGGTATTTTCATTTACTCTATGTAGTACTACACTGAATGACTGTACCAGGGTTTAACATTCAATAGATAGACGTTGTTTCTAAATTTTTGTTGTTTTTGTTTTTGTACGGGGGAATGAACTCAGGGGCACTCTACCACTGAGCCACATCTCCAGCCCTATTTTGTATTTTATTTAGAGACGGGGTCTCACTGAGTTGTTTAGCGTCTCACAGTTGTTGAGGCTGGTGTTGAACTCTCAATCCTCCTGCCTCAGCCTCGTGAGCCACTAGGATTATAGGCGTGCACCATTGCACCCAGCTCTAATTTTTGTTAATTAATAATAATTTTAAAAAAATTTTTTTAGTTGTATGTAGACATAATGCCTTTATTTTTAGTCATTTATTTTTATGTAGTGCTTAGGATTGAACCCAGTGCCTCACCTGTGCTAGGCGAGCTCTACCACGAAGCCACAACCCCAGCCCCCGATAATAATTTTAATAGCTGACAAGAGTGTTCATCATATTTTAAGTACTGTTCTAAGAGCTTTATATAAATACTGGGAATATTTTCTTTTTCTTTTTTTAATGTAGAATGTTTCTATATACCCTAGCAATGAAATAGTTGGTGGCAGAGTTGTTGTTGATTAACTCTTATTTTCATGCCTTTTTCAAAGATTGGTGGTAGGTGGGATATTTTTCAGTTAAAAAAATACAAACAACAAAAACCTAACTTGAATTTGAACCTATATCTTTCTATCTCTAGAGCCCACTACACTCTAAAATAGCCCACCTACTACATTATGCACATTTCAACTAAAGGCTCATGTTAATGTTGTAGCAAGAGTGTTATTTCTTTTTAGTAAGGGCACCTAGGTTGCAAAGGTAGCAATTGACTCTGGGACCTCAAAATAAGTTGGTAGCATGTCACATGCACTTCATTGCAGTGCATTGCTCTGGGCTGACCTTCACTGCATTTAGCAAATAATGAGAATGAGAAATGTTCTTTTTTTAAAAATTTTTTTTAGTTGTTGATAGACTTTTATTTTATTTATTTATATGCAATGCTGAGAATCGAACCCAGTGTCTCACACATGCCAGGCATGTGTGCTACCACTGAGCCCCAGCCCCAGAAATGTTCTTTTTTATAAGTAAATTTATTATATGGTTGGAAGACATTTTTATGGAATTTAAGTCTCAAATACAGTCCTGAGAATAGTGAATATGAAATAACCAGTAGCAAGTGTACAATTTTAAAACTCGTCTTTGTTTAAAGATACTGTTTGGGGATGGAGTTGTAGCTCAGTGGCAGATCACTTCCTTAGCACATGGGAGTCACTGGTTTCAGTCCTCAGCAACACATGTAAAAAATAAATAAATAAAATAAAGGTATTATGTCCATCTACAACTAAAAAAAATTTTTTTTTAAAGATACTATGTTTTATTTGCCATACCCATGCTTTTTCTGTGTTTTCTGTTCTTCTTAAGTATCATACTTTTGTTAACCTCCTTTAAAGGAAAAATTATCCTCAAAACATTCCCAAAGAAATTCTACTACAAATTGGGACTAACTTTGTAGAATTACTTTGGCTTAACTGCCCCTTTAAATAAAAATCCTAAGGTTGTGAGCATCAAAATCTAATGTACATGCTACATGTCACAATAATTAAACTCAGCAATGTGGAATTTTTCTTGACCATTTCCCTGGACTCAAATACAGTCCTGAGAATAGTGAATATGAAATAACCAGTAGCAAGAGATTGGTGTCATTCATTCATTCCATGAATAATTTAATGAGCATCTACCATGTCCAGGAGATAGGCAAAGATATATGAATAAGCCAGAGGCAGTTTCTTCCCTAAACCTAACTTTCTATTGGCCCATTGTTCCTTTTTATTTATCTGATAGGGGAGGACCTATATTAATAGTATACAGAGCATTTTTCTTGAGCACATCCTAGGAGATTAAACCTCTTGGCTTGGCTCTGACACATTATAAAGAATTAGAGCCCTGTACACTGTAATCCCAGTGGCTTCAGAGGCTGAGGCTAGAGGATTGTGAGTTCAAAACCAGACTCAGCAAAAATCAAGGTGCTAGGCAACTCAGTGAGACTCTGTCTCTAAATAAAATACAAAAAGGCTGGGATGTAGTTCAAGTGCCCCTGAGTTCAATCCCTGGTACTAACTCCAAAAAAAAAAAATTAGATATTTTGATATCATGTTTTAGGGCAAATAAATTAGAATATTCCAAGAAGTAATAAAAACTTTAGACCTAGTTAAACATCTTAAAATTAAAATGCTTATTAACTATTTTCTGTACCTAAGGGACTTTTTGAATGTTGAAATAATGATGTAATCTGTTTTATTTGCCATAGCCAAGCACTGTTAGGTAGGACAAAGTCTTCAGTAAGATTGGAGAGCATAGTCAATGCCTGGGCATTTTTCTGTGTCCAGAGTATTTCCAATTTGTATTAATCTGCCCATACGGTAAAAATTGGGGACCTAATGAAAGATAGTGATTTTTCAAAAAGAGGCAAAAGAAACTTTCAGGACATGCAATTTTAGAATTTGAGCCTTTCAAACATATATTTCACTTAAAGTTAGATTTTGACTGACTATTCAGATATAAAGAGATAGTTGAATACATTTTTGCAAAATAAAATTAAATGATTGCATGTAACCAGTGGAAATGTAGAGGATTAGTGCATAAATATGCCAGACATGGCATTCTATAGGCTGAAAGCTAGTTCCTGATTATTCAATAGCTAGTTATTCATTCTGGATCATTTAAATCTCAATCTTATTTTTTCTTGGCAAGAGTCAAGAAAATAAGAGACCTCTGGGCATGGGGCACACCCTTGTAATCCCAGCATCTTGGGAAGCTGAAGCAGGAGAATCTCAAGTTCTAGGCCAGCCTTAGTGACTTAGTGAGGCCCTAAGCAACTTATCAAGACCCTATCTCAAAATAAAAAATAAAAAGAGCTATGGATGTGGCTCAGTGATTAAGTACCCCTGGGTTCAATCCCTAGTACAAAAAAGAAAAAAAGAGAGAGAGAATGTAAGGCCTAGGAAACCATAATTTTGGAAGGTAAAAACTTAAAAGATTATTTCTCAAGCCTCATAGCATAATACATAATACATTTCAATGACTTCTCTTATAAGAAATTCAACAGTTCTACAGTTTTCTTTCACATAATCAAATTAAAAATTTAATTGGGGGGATGAGGTTGTGGCTCAAGAGGTAGAGTGCTCGCCTAACATGTGTGAGGCTCTGGGTTCGATCCTCAGCACCACATAAAAATATAAAAATAAAGATATTGTGTCCACCTGTAACTAAAAATAAAAAAAGCAAATATTTTTAAAAATTTTTAATTGAGTGCTGCCATAGCTTAATTTCTACCACTTGGGAGACAGTAAACAAGCATTTGGAATTTCTTTCCATTATTAAGAGTAGATTATTAAAGCTTGGAAAATTTTATATTTTATTATTTTTATGCTGAATTTAATATTGTAGGACATATGGTGATCTTTATAGGAAAACTATAAATATCATAACTTTAAAGAAATAGAGGGAATGTTTCAGGAGTATGCTTGACCTCTTTTTTTTTAATAGTTGTAGATGGACAGAATGCTTTTATTTTATTTATTTTTATGTGGTGCTAAGGATCAAACCCAATGCCTCACACATGCTAGGCAAGAGCTCTGCCACTGAGCTACAGCCCCAGCCCTGTTTGACCTCTTTTTAAAATATTTATTATTATTATTTATAGTTGTAGATGGACACAATACCTTTATTTTATTTATTTATTTTTATGTGGTACTGAGGATCAAACCCAGTGCCTCACATGTGCTAGGTAAGCGCTGTACCACTGAGCTACAACTCCAGCCCTGTTTTTGACCTCTTTAAGAATAATTACCTTGGGTAGGGATTGTGGCTTAGTAGTAGAGCACTTGCCTTGTACATGTGAGGCACTGAGTTCAATCCTCAGCTCCAAATAAAAATAAATAAATAAAATAAAGTTAAAAAAATCCATAAAAAATAATTACCTTATTAGGTATGTTTTAAAGGACTAGAATTGAGTAATGGATTCTTTTAATTGAACTTTTCTTTAGTTCTGACACAACACCCCTTTTAAATGGATCAAGCCAAGACAGAATGTTTGAGACAATGGCAATTGAGATTGAACAACTTTTGGCAAGGGTAAGTGCTTTCTGTTAATTAATTGTGCACTTGTTATGTATGGTACTATGTTAAATTGTTGCAGACGTATTTATTGAAATCATACATTCATTTAAGATGTGTTCCTCCCCATGCCACTTGAATTTGATGACAGCCATCCCCAAAATGGGTATTATTTTAGCCTCTGTGAATTACTTGGTGGAAAATGCTGAATGGGTTTTGTTTTGCTATCAGTCAAAAGGGCATACATATATATATATAGAAATAATTTGCTTTTCGCTGCATATAGTGCTTTCTAAATTTTGTTTTAAATGTATTTTTTCTTTTTAGCTTACAGGGGTAAATGATAAAATGGCAGAATATACCAACAGTGCAGGTGTCCCCTCCTTGAATGCAGCACTCATGCATACGTTACAGCGACATAGAGACATATTACAGGTAATATATTGAGCTTGAAATTTTTTACATTATCACAAGAGTTTTGTTTGATTTGTTTTTTAATCATTTAATAGGGTAGGTACATATGTTTTTAAAAGAATAAAGAGAAAATTCTTCTGAGAAGATAAATGATATACTATATAGAAATTCATTTTTTATTTATTTTTTTTCTTTTTTGGTCAGTAGTGTAAAATTTGGGAAATACTTAATATATCTTGCTTTTTCCTGATGAAGTTGAATGCTTATCACTTGGTACATACACTTCCAGAAGACCTGTCAGCTAGCTGTAACAGAAAATAGCCAATATTCATGCATCAACAATAATATGGTGATTTAGATTACACTTTTATCAGGCTTTCAAGATAATATGGAAGGGAGAGTAATTTACTATAAATAGTGTATTGGTTGGGAAAATGTTAGAAGTATTCAATAAAAGCAAATAAATGCAAAGACTTATATGGGGGTATTAAAAATGTAGTACTTGAAAGAAGGGCTTTTTTTTTCCCTCCCCCAGTACTGGGGATTGACCCCATAGACACTCTACTATTCAACTGCATCCTCAGCCCTTTTTCATTTTTTCTTTTGAGATAAGGTCTTGTTAAGTTTCTGACGCTGGCCTTGAACTTGCTGTCTTCCTGATTCAGTTTCTTTCCCAAATTCCTAGGATTAATTAGAGGCATTCACCACCACATCCAGCCAAACATTGTAAATATTGATAAAATTCAGCTACCATTTCTAATTTTAAAAACTCTTTTTAAAAACCAGAATAGAACTAGAGTGTAGCTCAGTGGTAGAGTGTGTGCTTAGCATGCATAAGGCCCTTGGGTTTGCTCCCCAGCATCTTACACAAAACAATAGGAATAGAAAAATTGTTCACCTAATGCAGAAATGTGACTCTCAGATTAAAAATCAGCATTGGAGTTAATGGTAAAGCACTGTAGATAAAAACAAAACAAGTATACCTATGTGCACCACAAATGTGTAATATTGTTTTAGAAGTTTGGGTAGGCAATTAGTAAAAAGAAATCTGAAATCAATATTAGAAAATAAGAGACAAAATTCCTTTCTTGTGATAGGATAAGATTATATGTCTCTATAACCAAGAAAATTAACTGAAAAATGTTAGAAACATTTAATTCAGTAAGATGGTAGATTAAAAAAAAATGATAGACTATAAAATTAGTATATAAAACCAAGCAGTTTTTCTACATAGAGTCACCTATTAGAAATATAATGGAAGGGGCTGCAGTCAATTCCCAGCACCACCACCACCTCCCCCCCCAAAAAAAAAAAATGAACACAAACACACAAAAAAACCTGTATATATAATGATGAAACTATAAAATTCTTTATGTATAACTTGTATACTGAGGGACATAGAAGAAAATGTAAGCAGAGGAAAGAATTATTTTGCTTTTGGATGGGAAAATTTCCCTCTAAATCGCCGTATAAATTGAATGTCATCCCAATGGAAGTAGCAGGGTTTTTTCATGTTTGTTTCATTCTTTTCATGACATAATGACCCAAAAGTTCATTTGGAATCATACACATACAAGAATAACTAAGAAAAGTAAAGCTCAATAAAGTTTATCTTCTAAAAATAAAGATAAGCAGTGGCTAATTTTACCAGATACTAAAACTTATTAAAAAGTTAGAATAGTTAAGACAGTTTGATTCTAGAAGAAAAAACATATGTACTAATAGAACAAAATAGAGTTCATATATAGAGTTCTATATATGCATGGAAATGTAGCTTCTGATAAAAGTGGGTGTTTTATATCAGGACAAAGAAATTATAAAATAAATGGAACTATAACAATTGACTGTTTGGGGGTTGGAAGATAACCACCTCAATTTCTACCTCAGCCCTCACAACCAGAATAAATTCTAGATGGACCAAGGATTATATGTAGAAAAATAAGCATGTGCAAGGCACTGGGCTTAGTCCCCAGCAATGCAAAAGGAAAGTAAAACAGAAAATGAAACCATAAAATTTCAGAATAAAGCATGGTTGAAATTTATAAATTTTGGAGCAGTAGAGGGTTTTCTAAGTAAGGGCAAATACCAGAAACTGTAGAAAATAACTAATTTTCTTAATACTAAGAGAAATAATAGAAATAGAAAAAAGACAACTTAAGTCAAGCATGCTGGTACATCCTTGTAATTCCAGCAGCTGGGGAGGCTGAGACAGCAGCCTCAGTTCTAGGTCAGCTTCAACAATTCATTGAGGCCCTAAGCAACTTAGCAAGACCCTGTCTCAAAATAAAAAGGGATGGAGATGTAGCTCAGTAGTTAAGCACCCCTGGGTTCAACCCCTGGCACCCCAAAAAAGAAGAAAAATGACAACTTAGGAAAATAGTCAAAGAATATAAATTTGCTCACTTAAATGAGTGGCTGAGGATTGTGGGTATAGCTCACTGATAGAGCCTAGCATGCTCTTGGGCCTGAATTCAGTCCTTGGCAACACACACACACACACACACACACACACACAGGCTGAAACCAAAAGATGTTCGGGTCATATTCCCAAATAAATATGCAAATCAAAATGAGATTTTTTTTTCACCTATCGGATTAACAAATATTCAAATATTTATAACCCATGATTGGCAAGCATGTTGAAGAATAGGCACTCATAAGTCATTGGTGGGTCGGTAAATTGGTGCAGTCTTTCTAGTAGGCAATTTAGCTCTATCAGAATTTTTTTCCCCCAGTACTAGGTATTGAATCCAGGATCTGGCACATGCTAGGCAAGTGTTCTACCACTGAGCTTCATTCCCAGCTTTTTTTTTTTTTTTTCTTTTTAATTTTATTTTGAGACAGGCTCTCAATAAATTGCCCAGGCTGGACTTGAACTTGTCATTCTCCTGCTTCAGCCTCCCAAGTAACTGGGATTACAATCATATGTCTGCCCATCTATTCAACAAAATATATGTACAGGAATGATTATTGCAGCTTTTGTGTGTGTGTGTTTGTATATATTGTGCTGACAATTGAACCCGGTGCCTCACATACAGGTAGGTTAGTACCCTACCACACTGAGTACATTCCTAGCCCCTATTGCAGCATTTTTAATAGAAAATAATGAAAACAACTAGAATGTTTATCAGTAGTGAATTTATTAAATTATGATAGAGTCATAATATTCTATGCAACTATTAAAAAGAGTGATGTAGGTTGTAGATACATTTAGGATGTATCTACCAAACACCTGCCTATCATGCATGAAACCCTGGGTTCAGTCTTGTACACCACCAGAAATAAAAGTAAAAATAAAGGAAGAAAGTAATGTAGATTTCCATTTGCTGGTATGGAAAGATTGCTTGACATTTTATGATCTATAAAAAATAGAGTGTGCATCAGAATGTATAGTATGATTTCTTTAGCAAAATATGAATGCAAGCCAGGCACAGTGTTGCACACCTGTAATCCCAGCAACTTGAGAGACTAAGACAAGGGGAGTGCAAGGTTAGGGCCAGTCTCAGCGACTTAGCAAGACCCTGTTTCAATTTATTAATATAATCTAATTAATTAATTTTGATATCAGCATTGAACCCATGTGTGCTTAACCACTGAGCCGTATCCCCAACCCTTTTATGTATTTTATTTAGAGACAGGGTCTCACTGATTTGCTTAGGGCCTTTCTGCTGAGGCTGGCATTCAACTTGCAATCCTCCTGCCTCAGCCTCCTGAGCCCCTAGAATTACAGGTATGCAGCACCACACCCATGTTTAAAATTTTAAAAGATTAAAAAGGGCTGGGTACATAGCTTCACAGTGAGTGCCTGCAGGTTCAATCCCCTATGCTGGCGTGGGGGGGGCGCGGGGAGAAAGAAATAACAGACAAAATTGAATATGTAGAAACATGTTTCTTGGAAGAAAACACAAGAAAGGGATGATAATAGTTATGAATGGTGGAACAGGATTTTTTTTAAACCCTGTTCTTTTACTATTCTCCCCATATTCATGTGTTTTATTTGTTTTTAAAAGATTAGTCAATAGAGGCCTTCTGGGAGATGGTTCATTTTATTTATGTACTTTTCTGAATTAAAAAAATAATATTCTTTAATGCCTTTTAAAAATACAGTAGTATAAAAATAAAATGTTTTAAAGATTATTTTGTTCCTTGCAGTTCTTTTGATTTTTGTTCTTCATTTAATTTATTTTGGAATTAAAATTCAGTGGGAGCATCAAAAGGAGAGGATTTGGGCTGAGGGGTATAGCTCAATGGTGAAGTGTTTGTCTAGCATGATGAAGGACCTGGGTGTGATCCCCAGCACTGCAAAAAAGAAAAAGGAAAGAAAGAAAAGAAAAGAAAAAAGGAAATTTAGAAATAAGCCTATTACTAGGTTTATTGAGTTTAAATAAATAAACAAAACTCTCAAAAATTCTATCCTAAACCACTTGAAATCATTTTACTTAGGATTTTATTTTTATTCATAATTATACCTCATAAGACAAGGTACTAGACGATAGAATGGAAAAATAATGTTTAGAAATTTACAGTATGATGACATGACTTATGTTGAGACTAGATGTTGATTTATTGCAGGATTATACACATGAATTTCATAAAACCAAAGCAAACTTTATGGCAATACGGGAAAGGGAGAATCTCATGGGATCAGTACGAAAAGATATTGAGTAAGTTACCTTTTATATTATTTTGTAGAGTACTTATGAAGATTTAGAATATAATTGTAGTTAATTGCAGTCAGGATTTAGATTTCAGGGTTTCTAATTATCATTTCAACATTTTTGGAACAGACTGCTACATTCTGATCCTGATTACTTTGCCAGTCTTATCTCCTGGTTCCCTAGTTTTACCATTATCTCCTGCCAACCTTGAATTTCCTGTCTTTATTCAAAGTCTAATTTACATGACATCTTCATGAGATCTTCTCTGACCTTTTATATCTACCCTAAGAATAATAACGTAACTGAAGTTCTCCATGTTGCCCTTGATGAATATCTATCTCCTGCTCCTCTCCCTTTTCCCAACAATTTTATATTCAGGTAGCTATTAATGTAACCTTTATTTCCCTGAAATTCTGAAATATTTGTTTTTTTCCAGATTTAATACAAACTCATCATTTTACATTAAATTATTTAAGGACTTCAAACATTTTTATGCTTATCTCAGTCCATAAGTTTAAAGATTTTTTTCTTTTCTTCCATTCCTTCACCTCATCCTTGATGATATATTGTACCGTTTCATACTTTTTTTTTTTTTTCTGTGGTACTGGGGATTGAACCCAGGCCCTTGCTCATGCTTCACAAGCTCTACTATTGAGCCACATCCCCCAGCCTGCTTTTCTTAGGTATTCTCGAATAACTTTTCAGAAATGAACTTGACTGACCATCAAGTCTAGTTCTGTGGCCATCTAATTGAAGCTGAAGACTTTCCTATTTTGAACCATCTAATGATACCTATCATTGTCTCATTGTGATAAATTTATGCTGTTTCATAAACAATGATATACACTTATCACAATTTGGTATGTGTTATGTGTACTCTAAGAAACATTTTCCTAAAGCTCTCTTATTTTGTTATACTACTGTGACAATCATAATATTTTTGTCCCTTGGGTCTTTTGTTTAGTTTCTATACAGTTGACTTCATATGCATTTTGAGGAATACAATGAGAACCACGGTAGAGAGTGGCCTTTAATGTATAAACAGCACTTCCATACTTTGTAGGAGTGACTAGACTGCAACCCTCTATAATGACTTAGTTTTGAAAAATGATGATAAAAGTATGTGCAGCCAATTCATTAAACTGTTTCCTGAGCACCAACTATAAGTAAGACATTATGTAGCCACAATAGATGGTAGAAATGAAAAGACCAGCTTGGCCCTGTTTATAATCTAGGTGCTAGAGGGGAATAAGGTACGTTATTTAAAATAGTATAACACAAGGCATAATATGATTAGTGAGATGAGGTATAATAACAATACCTGAGACTTTTGTAGTTTTTTGCAGTTTACATAATACTTTTCCATGTATTCTCTTTTTGCTTTCAAATAATTTTTTGATAAAGATAGAAATTATTAGTCTCATTTTATAAAGCTAGGTGTTACGAGTCTTGTCTAAGGTTAATTGACTATTAAATCTAAGTAATCAGTTATCTAAGTCCAATATGTTGTTGGCTGTATCATTGTCCTGGTGTTTTTCTGTTGTACTTTGTATAGTAGTGCTGCCTCTCAGCCAGTACCTCAGTTTTAGCAGCATGACCCTCTTTTGTCTTAGAGCAACATTTGTGCAGTTTCTTGAATTTTTAAAAATTCAATACTTTATTTTTAGTGGAACACAGAAAAATGAGAGTGTTAATGATAAGACATTTTTTGTAAAATTTAACTAAGTTAGAAATCTTTAAGTATACCAAATTTGGCACTTTACTGAATACTTCATTTCATTGGTCCTTAGGCTTAGTTGATGATGACATCTACTGTTTTTTTGTTGTTGTTGTTGTTGTGTGGTGCTGGGGATTGAACCCAGGGCCTTGTGCATGCCAGGCAAGCACTCTACCATGTGAGCTATATTCCAAGCCCGGTACACACTGTTTTGAAGAAAAATTTCTGTTTTAATGCTTTCCGCTCCACATACCATGTTCTAATCAGTCCATTGTTTTACATCCCCTTGGAGAAATTGAGGATATAGACAAAGAAAGGAAAAAATAACATTTTTTGTTGTTGACAAAGAATATTGGGTTATTTTAATGAAAAGCATAGTAAACTCTTAGGTCTTAGAGAAGCATTTATATTTACAATAGCATTCTTAGAGGGAAATGAAAAAAGTTTTAATTATTCAAAACAATGAAGAGGCACAGTTTGTTCACTTTTGATCTCAATAGGGTCAGTCACTTAATCTGATTTTTATAGTGTTTTCCAAAAATGTTCTTAAGTTTTCTTTATGTTGTTCTAGGTCATATAAAAGTGGATCTGGAGTAAACAACAGAAGAACTGAACTATTTCTGAAAGAACATGACCACCTTAGGAAGTAGGTATTATTGAATGTAACTTATGTGTAATTTCCTATGTTTATTAATTCACTTATGCAAGAAACATTTTATGATGTTATCATAGAAAGTGCTTTATTGATGATAATTCATTTAATTTTCCTAATGACAGTGCTCAGTAGAAATGAGAGTTGTGGACTGGGGCTGTTACTCAGTGGCAGAGTGCTTGCCTGGTATACACAAGGCCCTGAGTTAATTCCCAGCACCACAAAAAAAGAGGAAAAAAAGGAATTGTGGTCGTTCCAATTATTAGGAAGATACTGTGCTGTTGAATATTTTACTTCACTTGTTACTTGTTATGTTTTTTATTATCTTAATGTAATAAGTCTAGTACTTTAATACTTTTGTCTATAATAAATGAATGTACACACATGTACATAGTAAACTGTTTCTGTGTCTGCATAATCTATATATGTGTACACACTGTATATACCTATAGTAAAAATGATGATTATGTTTTAATGGTCTGTTATCACTTACGTATTGAAGAAGCTTTATAAAAGGTAATTAGGCCATATATCAAATTTAAAAGAAAAGTTTTGTTGTCCAAGATATCAGAAGAAAATATCAAAAACTTGGATGAACTATATGCTTATTTTAAAGCAAGTCACCATAGTCTGTTTTTGTGTCATCTATTTTTCTCTGAAGTAGATTAGGTTTTCTCTTTTTGTTTTGCTGTTTATATTTTGTGGTGGAACTTAAGGATTAGAAAAAAATACTTATCTCTGAACTCAGCCTATAAGCACTTGAGTAGCTTGTATCCATAATAGTGCTAAAAGTTATGAAGATATTTGCTACTGAATGCCATAAATGTTATATGAAATTTAGGTATTGTTCAATTCATTTGTCTTTAAAGATCACCACTTTAAATATAAACTGTTAAAATCAAAACACAGAAAGAGCCAAGCATGGTGGTGCATACCCATAACTCCAGCTACTCAGTTGACTTAAGGCAGGAGGATCATTTCAGCCTCCAAGTTTGAAACCAGACCAGCAATATAGTGTGACCCTGTCTCAGAACAAAACAAACCAAAAACAACACACAGAAAGATCAGGGTCTTTTATCTATCTATCTATTTATTTATTGAACATAGGCAAGTACTCCGCCAGTGACTACACTCCCAGCCAATCAAGGCTTTCTTTAGGAATTCCATGCTTTTAGTGTTAGAACTAATCATTGGTTGTTCTTCCTTAATTTATGAATATCATTGATTGGCACAAGGGGGCACTGTCTCCTAGAGTATGTTTATAGTAATAGCTTTGTCATAAACATTTGGTAAAGACCACTGTAAAAAGAATTTTGCATTGTGTCCAAAACTATACTAATATGTTCTTGTGGTTCAGAGTAATTAAGGGATAGCATATTTAAGCAGTAGAAACTAATAGTTAGATTGCATTAGTGTTTCTATATTTATTTCCTCAAAAAGAAATTAAACAGTTAAAAAAAAATGTGGTAGTTTACTTTTAAAAGGATTATTTGAAGCTGGGCATGGTGGAGCACCCCTATAATCCCAGGTACTCAAGAGGTTGAGGGCCAAAGGATAGTGAGTTTATGGCCAGCCTGGTCAGCATAAGTAGACCTCATCTAGATAGGTGAGTCAGTAGAGACAGACAAAACTTGGAGACAACACAAATGATCTTTCTCCTCAAATATTTCCCACTAGTTTTAAAATTCATTCATGAATCTTATATTCCCATTTACAACTGTGGTGTTTGCTTATTGGTGATTTTCTATTTCTATGGGTCCTTTTTATACTTATTAATTATAATTTTGTAAGAAGAGCTCTCTCTTCTCTGCCATTTATTTTGTTTATTTAATTATTTATACCAGGTTATATTCACAAATAACTATGAGTTTTAATCCAGGACTAGAATTACTTCGTTGCTTGAATTGTTCTATATTTTGTCATTGGAAGTTCCTTCAGGTTAGTTTCTGACATTTAACATTGCTCATTTCTTTGAGTACTTCTTTTACTTTCTGGCATCATGAAATATTCATGGCCTGTATTAAATTTTACTTGCCTCAACTCTGGAGTCAACTGGGCACTTTACCACTGAGCTATATCCCCAGTCCTTTTTATTTTGAGATGGGGGTCTTGCTATATTGTGGAAGCTGGTTTTGAACTTGGAATCCTTCTGCCTTAACTTCCTGAGTTGCTGGGATTATAGGCATGTGCCACCATGCCTGGCTTGTAATCAACTACTTCTCTAAGCAGACTTGGTTTATGGTATTCAGAAAGTAAGATTTGTGTGCTAGGTGTTGTTATTGCTTTTGAGGAGAGTACTTCCATGCTTTTGTTGCTAAAAATTTTATCATGAATGGGGCTGAATTAATTTCTTTATCTTTGTGTGTCTTTCTTTTTGCATCTATTGAAGAGATTGTTCTTATCCTTTATTGCTGTAATATTGTGAATTATGTTGATTATTTTTAAATAGTAAAACAATCTTGCATTCCTAAAACAACCCCCACTTGATCATGATATATTGATTATCCTTTCTGTTATTTTGCTGGATTTATTTTGTTTGGGATTTCTGCATTATTGTGAGAAATGTCTGTAGTTTTCTGTCCTTAAGATGTCTTTGGTTGTATTATATGAATAATATTGGCCCCATTAAATGATTTAAGAAGTGTCCCTTTTTATTATTTTCTGAAAGAGTTTATTCAGGCTTGTTATTTCTTTCTTAAATGTGTATTAGAATTTTTCAGTGAATTTATCCTAGCTTGGAGGTTTTCTTTGTGACAAGATTTTTAAATTAAATATTTAGGGTTTTGTTTTTGTTTTTGTTTTTTTGTAGCTGTAGGACTGAGTTGCTTGGATTTATCCCTGGCCAGTAGGTGACTTACTATAATTGGTTTTACCCGAGTCACAAATTCATCCTTGTGGCTAGATGATTGGAAAATCTGTTATCAGAAGAGAGTGTGGCATGTTCAGGGCTCCAGGGTAGTTATTAGCCAATTGGTTACATCAATTTAAATTTACTTTACTCTTCTATACTATAAGCTTTATACTTTGAAATAGTATATTGGTTACATCAATTTAAATTTACTTTACTCTTCTATACTATAAGCTTTATGCTTTGAAATAGTATGGTTAAGTAAAATCTCTTTTTCTAATGTTTATTGAAATGAGCTTTTACTTTAATACTACCTTCCTCCCTCCATTTTTCCATGAGTGAATTAAGAATTTTTTATGGGTCTTTAGGGCCCTATATCAACCTGCTGCCTTAATCTCTAACCTCATTGCCCTCTTTCTGTTACTTCATCCAGCCACTCTCTCCTTTTGCCTACTAGGTACCAGCCATACTCTTTGGTTCCTTTCTCCAAGACATCAAACCCTTTCCCTTTTTAGCCTATTTGCATTTATGCTACTTAATCTTCTTAGAATACACTCCTCTGTTAATTTTACATATAACTTATTCATCTTTATGGTCTAAACTCACTTGTCATCTCCTCAAACAGTCCTCTTCTAACTCTTTTTTGAAATAGGCCCTCCCTTACTTTTTTTTTTTTTGAGTTTGTATGTTATTTATTAAAAAATAGACAGTGAGATCTTATTACATTTAGATGATTTTCTTGAATTAATGAAAATGTATAAAAAAAAAAAACAATGGTACCACGATGCATCCTTTGTAGACAAAAGGGAGATTTGCAAAGTGTGCAGGTATTAGACTCTTGATCAACCACTTTGATATCTGCATTTTAACCATGCCAGGATCCCATTGTCACAGAGAGTCATCACATTTGAGCCTGATATACCATACACTCATCAATTCATAAATTCCCTTTTTCTTCTGTCTTTTCATCATATTAATAGAGATATTGCTGGATAATCCAACAGCCTAAATTCCTGTGCCTGCCCTACCGCAGTCAAACACTACTGGGCAAAGTGAGAGGAGTTAAATTATAAATTTATGATCAATAAATTCAAATTGAAGGGCTGGGGATGTGGCTCAAGCGGTAACGCGCTTGCCTGGCATGCGCTGGGCGCTGGGTTCCATCCTCAGCACCACATAAAAATAAAATAAAGATGTTGTGTCCACCGAAAACTGAAAAATAAATATTAAAAAATTCTCTCTCTCTCTAAAAAAAATAAATTCAAATTGATTAAAATTTTCTTTTCTGTCCTTTCTCTGTAATAACTTGCCCTCATAATTGGCACGTGTGCATACATCCATTCTGAAAAATTCCAAAGTCTTCTTAAACTTCAGCCTTGCTGTTATTTAACAAAGCACTTTGTATCCCCCAAAGAAAATCTGTAATCATTTGTTCTTTTAATTTTTTTAGCACCTGACCTTCCTTGAATGTAAGCTTCATGAGTCTAGTTATTGGCATTCCTGGGTCTCCAGTTCCTATTATATTATAAATACTTAGTATTTATTTGTTGTATTAATAAACAGATATAAACAGAAGATATTAATTTAGATTCAATATGCATATGGATATATATGTATGCCCCACTGTAGAACACTTTTTCATTCATCCACTAATGTTCCAAGTGTTTATTGAATACATATTATAACAAGGATTGATTTAGATGCTAAATATATAAAATTTGATTTTAAGGACTAAAGGGGAAATTACCAATGTAACCAATTTTTTGTTTTGCAAAATAATTCCCCATAAAATACCTTTTAAAAATTTAAATTCATATATACAATAAAATAATAATAAAAGCATCTCTTATTTATAAATGAGGAAACAAGATTCAGGAAAGATGTAGGTCAAGGTCTCATAACTATTTAATGGTATAGCTCTTACTAAATGCACATTTTCTAACCCATTTCCATAGTTGTCCCACATCATACTGCCTTCCCTTCTTTAACATTTTATTTTCATTGTACTAAGGAACCAGTATGGCATAATGTTACTGAGAATTGAAAGACCAGTTTTTCACCTCTCTGAGAGCAAGTGACCTGGCCACTCTCTTTTCTTTTTTCCTTCATCTTTAAAATTAAATGGTAGGTGCTTCTCCCCCAGTGT